TCTCGGTTAATATTGAACGTAGAAAGTTGAAGTTCGGACGGATCTCATTATTTTTAGCCAATCTACGAGAATCAAGCATCCAAACACGATTCTGTGACCAAGGCAACTGACTCATTGTAAAAAGCCCCCAAAAAACGTATGAAAGGAACTCTGCGAGCTCAGGTCGGAAACTGAGATACGGGGTTTAGGGAGTTTCACGTAAGTCGATACTGAGTTTCCTACGGAGAGGAGCTGTTTAAGGTGATTCGACGGTTGCCATTTTTTGTGTCAGAGCAACGTGGGATATATCGCATCAATTCATTCCATAATTTCGGTTACTTCTCTTATTCTTCTAACTCTGAGACTGCACTTCTGTTGTCATGAGACCAAAGAATTCATGTACCTTTGACGAAGAAATTCAACGAAATAAAGGCAGGGTTTTTTTTACAGGAAAAATATCGCATTAAATACTATACTGATATCGAAACTGCACTCGAATGCGATATTTTTCCTCTGAAAAACCCCTGCCTTTAATACGTTGAATTTCTTTGTCAAATTTGGTACATGAATTCTTTAGTCTCGTAACAGCAGAAGGGCGATCTCAAAATTCGAAAAAAATGACAAGTAGCTGAAATTATGGAACGAATAGACCGTATTCGATAACGGTTCGATGTATCGTTTGGTTCAAAACAATAGAACATAACCTCAAACCAAAACTGTGAGGATTTAAGTTGAAAAAGCTAAAAATGAGAAATTTCCTGACAATATCACTATACATTGGCATTTGGTACCCAAAAAAATAGAAAATCTGTTTCATAAGACCCGTTCTCTCAGATTTCTGAATTTACTTTTGAGGCTATGTTTATGTTTTGAACCAATCGATATCGATACAATCTCACCCGTTTGATGTATCGAATACGATCTATTGATGCGATACATCGCACGTCGCTCTGACACAAAAAATGGCGTCCATCGAATCACCTTAAGGAGCGGTTACGAATGCTGCTTCTAGTCTAACGACCGTTCGTGAAGCTTTTTTTGTGCACTTCGGCAACTGTCGGTTCCGGCCGTCGGCGAATCTGGCGGAGCGATTAATCGTTGGGAGCATTTAATTATTTTTTCCTATCGGTCGAAGATTGTGGCGGCGCCGCATTTCCACGGCAGCAAGGTCGAAGGTCAGCATGTGTAGTTATCCAATTGTCTCGGCCATTACGCGTGCCCCATTCAGATTCCCCCTCGTCCCCGTTTGCACAACGGCCTAATGGCCCACTGCAACGGTTTCATCAACGCCTTTTCGCCGGTCGCTGGAATTAGAGCTAAGGACATGCACGAAATGAGACCCTCCTGAGCACCGAAAAAAAAGTGAAGTTGATTTAACATTCTGGATTTAAAAAAAGTGCGCGAGAACTTACGAAATGCTGAATTACCCGATAAGGCAGTTACTTTAGCAATGCCAAGATGTAAAACTAACTGCTGCGGCTGGTAATTCGGCATTTTACGAGTTCTCTCACACTTTCTTTACATCCAGAATGTTAAATCAACTTCATTTTTTTTTCAGTGAGGGCTCCTTACAATAGGAGAGAGCTTTCACTTTCGGGGTTTTACTTCAGTGCTGTCATTTCATTTTATCAAAAAATTCCGAGATCATTCCGATTTCTCGAAACGTATTCCGATTTGCCAAAGTTCCGAGAGGAATTCGGGAATACGCCCGGATTCCGAAGTTCCGAAGATCGTCAAATTTGACCAGAAAGTCCCTAAATTTGATCAAATAACTGTCGAACTGGCGAAAAACCGCAAATTTTGAAGAAATTCCGCTATTGGCTGAAAATTCCGGGGATTCAGAAGATTTCGGGAAAACCTGAAACTACGTAATTTTGTGCGCACTTACGGCTTTCTCATATGTCTCGTTTTCATACAGTTCCGATGAATTTTGCTGTTTTAGCTATTTCAGTGCACCGAAAAAAAAGTGAAGTTGATTTAACATTCATTCTGGATGTAAAAAAAGTGTGCAAGAACTTATGAAAAGCTGAATTACCCGCAAAGAAAGTTACTTTAGCAAGGCCAAGATGTAAAACTAACTGCTCTGACTGATAATTCAGCATTTTACGAGTTTTCTCACACTTTTTTTTACATCCAAAATGCTAAATCAACTTCACTTTTTTTCCGGTGTGCTTTCATCTAAAAGAGATTCGACGAATTTTGAAGGAGACTCGATTTCGACAATTTGACCCTCACTGCTCTCTTCGCTATCACGGCAGCGCTAGAATCGTTATCGACTTGAGTGCAACTCTTCACCCACCATCTGTCAACAGAATTTTCATCACCGTTGGCGGCCTCACATGATAATGCGATTGGATTATCGGTCAGTGTGCTGCCGCCTGCGGCTAATCCGAGACCTTTGAAGTGGTCAGTGTTTACACCATGCAGCTGCAGTCTATAATTAGGCCGGCGTATTGTCGGAAACGGAGGCAAAACAAAAAATACGGGGAAAAATTTTGTCGGACAAGGAAGAGAATACGATAAAGGTGGAAGGGGTAGGGGTAGCGGCGGTTAAAATATAGAGCGTTTGAATGGGCTATTTATGTCAATGTTAATGACTGAGTCAGCGTTCGCCGCGCGTGAGGTGAAGGTGCATTGGCTGTTGCCGAATTCGAGGAAACTGCAGTTGGATTGAATGAACAATGAATCAGTCTGATAGCCTTTGGCGTTGAATAATTTCGCCTCATTGAATATTTTTAATCCAAAAATTGAATATATCTGGAGTATTTACTGCGAACACCGTTATGGGGCTGCATAAGTTGCGAATTCTTTAAAAACACAAAAATTATGGTGTTGAGAAAACTGACTGAAAACTGAGAAAGCGCAAAAGTTTAAAAATAGGACGCGTTTGGTCCCGCGGCAGAATCGCGGCTGATGAGATGATCAAAGGTCTCGAACACGTCCCATCCTATAAAATTGCACGCCAGTGCGTCAGTTTTCTCAAAAAAAAAATAAAATAAAATAATTATTTAAAAAACATCTGGAGTTTTTGACTCTCCCTTCCGGGAAGCACTCGGAACAAAAGTTTGCAGTATCCGTTAAAAAAAAGCACGCAACGCTATCGGTGGCGTGGCGTGCATTGCGATGTATCGATTGTTAAGTAATTTAAACCTACGGTGAAGAATCTTTGATTAATTAGTTCGCTGCGAACACCCTGTTCATCGATCTTCTTCCATGGGTTTAAATGGCATAACAATCGATATATCGCAATTCACGCCACGCCACTGAACGCTCTGTTCAATTCCCCTCCCCTTCATATTGTCCTTCCACGATGAATTTGGAGTGAAAAATTGCCACCTTGCGTCAAATTTTCATCTCACTGGAAAAAAACACATTGGATCTAGAGTCCAGACTCTTAAAAACATCGACAAGAAAAAATACTCTTGATTCAATCAGATTTAAGCTTAAATAAAGAACCAAGCCTCTTAATTTGAGCAAATTTCCTCTTGATTTAAGCTTAAATCTGATTGAATCAAGAGTCCTTTATTTCTTGTCAATGTTTTCAAAAGTCTGGACTCTAGATCCAATGTTTTGTTTTCCAGTGCTCGCATTTCTGGAACTTTTTTACGTATTTACGCACACACAAACGCACATGCATAATTATACGTCGCCCCTGTGCCGTAGTTCCGTTTGTCAGAAATACGTCCATTTATCGACAAAATTTGGCAGCATCGCGGCGCGCCGACTGCACAAGTGCAGCGCGTCGTTGTGCAGAGCGTTATTTTCTTTGGTCGGCCGCCGCAGATGAGGGGGGAGGTAGCATCCGCACCGGCGAAAAAGTTGGCAAAAAAAGATGAACCCGGAGACGGGCGATAATGTAAGCAAGTTCAAGTTTAAATCGCGATCGCAATCCGCGTGGGACGTGTTATTTGCGCGACGAGTCCCTCCGAACTATCTCGCTCAAAACGCTCATAGGGCTCGCATTTCATCATACCCGCGGTGCGATCAGGCTCCTACTTTCTTCAATGGCGTGGCGTGCTTTGCAATATATCGATCGATATGCCATTTAACCTATGGAAAAGGTTTTATGGGTCTCATGGTTTGTCGTTAGTCCATTACCTACCTCCTCTGTTCATTGCAACCTCCTGTCTCCATCAATCGCATCCCTTCATATCCCTTTCGTCTTCTTTGTCTATAGCCTTGTCGATCAATTTCAATAATCGGCCCGAAGGAGGTTTTTTTTGCCACTTGACTTTAACTTCGAAAGAAAGTCAGTGGCGAGACGTGAATAATCGATTATCGATCCGCCATTTAACCTATCGAAAAGGATCGATAAACAGGGTGTTCGCAAAGAACACCATAATAATCGATTCTTTACCATAGCTTCAAATGGGGATGTATCCATAATCGATTATTCGCGCCTCGCCACTGACGTTCTATCGAAGTTAAAGCCAAGTGGCAAAAAAACCTTCTGCGGGCTTTGAAAACTATTTTTCGAATGAATGCTCCTTGGCAACTGATCCGTAATCTAACATGTTGAAATTTCCTAAATAATTCTCCAATTGATAATTAAAGTTTGAATTCTATTGATAGTTAACAATGCACCGCGGAGCTGATTATTCACTTCCAGTCCGTACAGTAGCTGAAGGCATAGTTTTGGAAAAACTCATGTGCAGTTTTGATCATCAAAAACACCTTTTTTGTTGTAAAGCTTTTTGTTTTTGGGCGTCACTTCTCCATTTTTGCTCGATGGTCCGCGTGAACGGGCCATTTCTATGCCAAGGGAAAACGCAGCATGAACGTATGGACTTTCAAAATGTCCGCATCACTTTTTTGAGAAAATTATGAATACTCGAATATTTCCTTGAAATTTGCAGATATAAAATTCACGTCACTCTGTTAGCCTATACTGGCGTGCCCTGACACACTTAAACGCCACACGTGGCAAAATTTTACAAGGCACATGCATCTTTTGAAAAATGTGGAACATTATTTCAGGGAGGGTTGTTCTATGTAAACCAAATATTAAATTAAGTCGCACATTTTTTTAGATATTTATTTTTTTAGATAAAAACATGAGTTGAGCTATTTGCCACTTTTACAAATACAAGCAATGATTGGCAGCGAGCGCCTTAAAAATCGATTCTTTACCACAGCTGCAAATGATGAAATATCAATACCTAATTGATCATTCACACCTCACCACTGTTCTACAATAGCCGACACGAGTGGAGGGTCTCATACCTCTGTACACCTAGCCTAACCGGAACTAACCTCTATCTCCTCCTGAAATCCATCCGCGTTGACCTCGGCCAAAAAACCGTGCCCTGCCATGCGCTCAAATTAATCCCGTTGGCGCATTCTTGAATATGTTTCCAATGACCTTGTACCGATCTGGTCTCTCCAGGGGATGTTTTCACGAAAAACGCGCATGTTTTCGAAATGCCCATCGGTAGCCGACAGCACCAAGCGAGATACGCATCTGCGCACGCTGCGCCACGGAGATGGTAAGGAATGGATTTGAATCTCTTGAACGCGGCAACACAGTCTGTTTTGCTTCCTTGGTGACGGGAATCAAACTTATTTGAGCATTGGTCGTTGGTTGCCACTGACGTCATGTACTCTCGAATGCCCAGCAGGTCCAACGTCTGGAATAAATTGAAAAAAAAATCTGCCGTGACAGTGAAGAGAGCAGTAAGTGTCGAACTTTCGAAATCGAGTTTCCTTCAAAATTTGTCTAATCTCGTTTAGTTGAAATCACTGAAATTATTGCTAAATTAGCGAAATTCATCCTAATTGTATCAAAATGAAACTTCCCGCTCAAAGAAAACATGGTGGTAATCCCTGGTAAAAATTGGCGATAAGAGCTGCGTTTCAAAATACCATAGGAATTCTTATAGCCGGCTAGAGGAGGCTACAGAAAATCATATAGCTGGCTGTAGAATGCGGAGAAAATCATACGGCCGGGCTATACGAAGCGATAACAAATTATGCAGCCAGGCTATAGTTCCTATCGCCGGGCTTTACGCTTTATCGCCTGACTGTTGCTTTTTCGCCATCGATTATAAAAGGCTGTAAGAAATTCATGTGCTTTGGAAATCATTAAGTTTGATACGGAACCACCTTAATATTTACAAAACACACGTTATATTTTCCTTTGATACATATTTTTTTTCATCAATTAAAGCGAGAATAATCCATACAGGATGTGCAAACAGTTCAAAATCATGAGTAGAATAACGCTGACTCCGCCAGATTAAATATTAGAGCCTAACACAAAGCGGAGCGGCGACGCACTGGCGCCTACAAACCTAACAGGGATACTTCACGCATTGCGCAACGCGTGAAGTATCCTTGTTAGGTTTGAAGGCGCCAATGCGCGTTTCGCGCTGGCTGCCCGCCTGCCGCACCGCAGCGTGCCACGGCGCTTGAAACAACTATTTCACACCAGAGGTATTGCACAGTATCATACGAAACTGAAGGCGCTCTAATGTATTGGGAATGGCAGGCATCCATCAGAAGTACGGAGCTTTCCTCGCAAAATAAATCAAGATACTACGGCCCAAAAAGAGAGCAGTGGTCCAAAAACTCACTAAGTCCTAGCATCCGTAATTAGTGACGTTTAGCATACACTTTATCGCCTGGCTGTGAGTTGCTTAGTCGCCATCGGCTATAAAAGGCTATAAGAAATTGTGTAGCCGGCTATAGAGGCTATTGGAAATCTTACAGCCGGCCGTAGGTCTATGGTATTTTGGAACACAGATTCTACTGCCAATTTTTACCAAGGATTGCTATCGCGCCTCGCGCTAGCAATGTTAGACACGGGAACTAGGTATGTGCACTTTCAAGTTTATTTTTCAGACTCTCTGTCTCCCAACTGATTCAAATTTTTCAGAACCAATGTAAGTACCAGATAAAAACGTGAATACCTTTGGTAGGAATTGATTCCAGTAATTTTCATTGCGCGAATCGTGTTCTACGTTAAATTCTGAGGAGTGAACAAACATCAGAATGCTAAGATTCGTATTTTACCCAGTGGTCCATTCGAATCAAATCAAATACTGAGCCTATAGCAGATTTTCACTTCAATGAAATGTGAACTCAGACCATGCTTTGATAAAAAACAATGTGCGAGAGGATTTATATATGTATAAAAAAAATTTACCTCAACATGGTGCAAAATAGGGGAGCAAACGTTTCGGTCATGCCGATGGCCTTCATCTTGCACATTATTTATTATTAAAGCATGATGGCCTGAGTTCGCATATCATGAGAGTAAAAATCAGTTGAAAGCTCAGTATTTGATTTGAATAAAAAAAAATTTAAAAGGCGGGTAACAAGGCTAAAATTTCACATACACAAAACCAAAACGTTTGAACGTTACCAAACGTTGTATGTGAAATTTTAGCCTTGTTGCCCGCTTTTTAAATTGTTTTTTTTTTTATTTTTATATCTTGTCACAGGCTGCAGGGCATCTATCATATTTCATGTATTTTATTTGATTTGATTATGAGTAGCCGAAAGCTGAATAATTTTGTTACCTCATGAATTATCTTTTTTTCCTTTTTTTTTTTTTTTTTTTTTTTTTAAGAAGAAAAAAAATCCTTACACTAAGATTATTTTTGATATGAGAGGCCTCTTCTCTATTGAATTTGACAAATTCGTCCGCTATACGTTGGAGCTCTGGCGAGGTTGGAAAATCTCCGATGGATGGGAAGGACCAACTTGGACTGGGACTGAGTTGTCGGGCTCGCGATCTGCTGGGGTTCCGACCCGATTTACGTGTACTTGATCGGCTAAGAAATTGCAGCCCGAAATGGCGAGCCGTCCTCTCCCGCGTAGTTTTTTTTCACGCACACAGCAACCGGATCATTTACAATTGTGACCAGGAATAATGGTAACAAGATCCATTTCCTAACCATTGCACCGGGTTGAATGAATCTGATGTGAGAAATTTGCTGATTATTCACAAGTCCTTGACATTAGGGGCGTTCCCAAATTAAGTGCCGCTCTAGGGAGTGAGAGGGATTAGTTCCTGCCTTAGTGGCGATTTTGAAAGTTGGTGACACTGTTAACACTCCATTTAAATCCATTAGAAATATCGATTTTAGGTGAAGTATACTGCTTAACCAAGAATCGATTGTTTTACGAGGGGCGCTCAATAAGTAAGTATCCCCCCTCTCTAAAATCCATAAGAATGGACCAATTTTAAAAAACTTGGGCTCAAAATCTTTCTTAGGATATTTTGAGTTCAACAAAACAAACCGCAACAAAATCGGACTATGTGCGGCCGAACGCGAGCCGTTTGAACGCGCCGAGGAGCTCGACGCTCCCGCCGAATCTGCGAGGATTTGAAGTCCGCTACAGGAGGAGAGCTTCTCTGCCAAAGCCTCAGTCGTTCATCACTGACGAAAAATCAAAGAAATTTTTGTAAAATAAGGGGCTTACCTCACTTCTCCACATAAGCAGCTCGATCCAAGCAAGTCTGATACTGAGACTAAGACTAAGAGAACAGCTTTTGGATGCCTCGTGCGTGGAAGTCTTTTAGCTGACCGCGGATGAAAGAGTGGACGGCTTGTTTTGACCTCTTCCACTGATTCAAAATTAACTCCTCCGAGTTCAGATTTCAGATACGATAATAAATGGCAAACCAGACCACCATTTATTCCCGTTCCTGAAATCTGAACTTGGAGGAGTAAATTTTGAATCAGTGGAAGTGGTCAAACAAGCCGTCCACTCTTTCATCCGCGGTCAGCTGAAAGACTTCCACGCACGAGGCATCCAAAAGCTGTTCTTTTAGTCTTAGTCTCAGTATCAGACTTGCTTGGATCGAGCTGCTTATGTGGAGAAGTGAGGTAAGCTCCTTATTCTACAAACATTTCTTTGATTTTTCGTCAGTGATGAACGACTGAGGCTTTGGCAGAGAAGCTCTTCTCCTGTAGCGGACTTCAAATCCTCGCGGATTCGGCGGGAACGTCGAGCACCTCGGCGCGTTCAAACGGCTCGCGTTCGGCCGCACATAGTCCGATTTAGTTGCGGTTTGTTTTGTTGAACTCAAAATATCCTAAGAAAGATTTTGAGCCCAAGTTTTTCAAAATTGGTCCATTCTAATCGATTTTAGAGAGGGGGGATACTTACTTATTGAACGCCCCTCGTACATACATTGAAATGGAGGAAAAATGGTGTCGTCAACTCTCAAGACCCCTCTCTATTGTTAAAAATAACACAAAATCCATCTTCTATCATCCTCATTTCTTGAAATTTATCACACTTTTATGAAAGATGCCTAAAAATTTATCCAGTTATATATTCACATGTCTCCCTCGATTTTTTTAATCTTAAGGGGGGCCGTCAGGTGTTACGCGGTTATTAAAGAGGGGTTCGGAGCTTTCTTACGAAGAGGGGAGTGGGAAGGGGGGTCAAAAATTCCGATGAAGTGTGTTACGTAAGTTATGAACGCTCCCTTATTTTACGAATATATGTGATGGGCTCAGGTAATGAAAGGTCCCTTCGGGTAGGAGAAGAAAAACAAGCATTTAATTCAAACACAATACATTGATGTAACACGTCATTGCTAAATTTGTTAAGCTGATTAGTTTAAGTTAAGAGAAATCATTACTATAGAAGAAGCACGTCAGTAGTGAAACTGTGGAGACGTAGTTTGAGACGCTTCAGACTGTCTGTGATGATTCATTTTTTATTTAAAGACGTACGTGCCGTTACTTTTTGCAGTGGCGTGGCGTGCTTTTCGATCCATCGATATTTTCCCATTTGAAGCTGTGGTAAATAATCGATTAATAAGGTGTTCACTGCGACCACCTTTTATCGATGCTTTTCCATAGGTTTAAGTGGCAGATCAATCGATACATCGCAAAACACGCCACGCCATTGACTTTTTGGGAAACTTCCCTGATTTTCTTTCCGGGGATGAGGAGAATATTCTGCGACTCTTCCGCGCGATGAAATAAAAGGGAAGTGGAAATTTTGAGCCGTCACAAGTCGGTTGCGCGTTTTTACAGTTTCACCATAGACATAAGGAAAATGCATTACGGTTTTTTTTTTTTTTTTTTTTTTTTTTTTTTTTTTTTTTTGCGTGCCTTACATTTTTATAGTAGGCACGCTTTTGATTTCGTTTTGATGTAGATTGTGCAGCCAGCCCTTTTTTTATACTTTTCCATGGGTTTTTTGTGCCAAAGCGTGTGGTACAAGTGTTATTTTTTCGTTTTTTATACTTTAAAAACAGTTAGGATGTTTTGGAAAGAAACGAGTCATAATTTAGAAGTTCTGCTAAACAAAAGTAGTATTTCCGGCTAAGCTGTAGTATTTCTAGCAATCGAAGACTTAAATTTGTCTGCTGTGATTGTGATAACTTGCCGATCGAGTTCATGTAGAGAATAATGCAAGTCCCTGCTAAAATAGCGCATAGAAGAGAATAGTTGAAAACAAAATGGTACAAGAACTTCCAAATTTCTATTCAACTTCAAAGAAAATTTTAGGAATATGTGTAGTTACCTCCAGCTTTGGGTCACTGAAACACCTACTTTCCATCCCACCGGAGTAAAGCAAACTACAGAAACCAACTGTAACCACTTGATATATGCGGGTTGAACTTTTTGCAAACGTACCTGGGGGAAAACGAAACTATACTTCGAGGAAAACGATACTGTTCATCCCGAAATGAATTTCCTTTTTTTCCCCTTCTTTTTTTACTGCACTTCGGAAACGTTGACACGTCGTTCACTTACGAGCCCACAATTTATGTAAAAATTGGCATGCTATCCTTTTACTCTTAGGAAATTACGCAAACTTTCAATAAACTTCAATCTTGCATTTTAGAAAGATATGTTCGGTTGCGCATTTGCCGATAATCTTGCAATAAGCGATATTTGTCAATTTCTTTTCATCAAATCAAAATGTCTCCTCTCTCTCGAGATAAGTAACTGAAACTGTCAACACCGAGGCATTTTTTGCACGAAAGGCGCACGGTAGAAAGGTGATAATGATTAAAAGCCTACTTCGAACAAAAAAACACGCTGGATATGCTTCAAATACGTGGGGAGAGAAAAATAGAACTTTGAAACTTTACGCGTGGATAGAATTGCGTGGCTCCACAGATGGCGTGGGGTGATGAAAAACCAGGGGTTGGTTCCAACGTATAGACGTTGTAGAGTGTTCACCGTGCGAACCTTTCCAATTTTACTAGGAATCAATTGAATGAAACGTTGAATGTACCCAACGTTCATAAATCTGCATTTCCTCCCAAAAGCAAAAAGTATTGATATTTGATACAATTGATACAAACAGCAATGACAAAGTGTTTTTATTATATTTCCTCAAAACTATGCTTATAACCGCTCTTACTGTTAATCAGTATGATTGTTGATCTCATTCAGTGATATATTATATCATGTAGCGCTAAAATAATTCATCAGAATTCCGCTTTTACCGCCTGTCTGTCCACGAATAAACGATTTTTGAGGACGTTTTGTAATTGTACCACTTGATACTTTTATGTGAGTGCATCTCTGAATAGGGAATTTGATTGATAATTAAGTTTGGCCATTCATTCTCACGATTCAAAGCCGCTTATGTTTGAGTAGACAATATTATTGCATTGTACCCTTCCTTTGAAAACAAATTTTTACACACTGAGCATTTTGGGGAAAAATAAAATAGAGTAATGTCGAATAACTAATAACTAAACTAGTCTCGAACTAAGATCAATCCGAACCTCAATAAAATGCCCCCTCACATTAATCGAAAGCCCTCTTTAACAAACCCAGAAGTTTGAAATTGGAAAACGAACATTCGGTTCAAATAGATTACATTTTGCAATATGGAGCCACCTTGTGGAAGAGCCAGAGATAGTAATCTCTGGCTCCTCCATAAAAGCACCTCTCTGCATAGGGAAACCAATGGTGCCTATGTTCTTTCAAAAATGCGTCGGAAATAGTGGTTGCCTATTGCAAAATGTAATCGAATGATCTTACTTTCTCTTCCAATATTTACCTCAATTTTAGCAATATACAACCACTACGTAGTTTTGAGATTAATCCTGTCACTTTCTTACGCACTCGATATTGTAATTCAATGAACCATTGAATCCACTTGTAAATATGATATACAACATATTTTCATGTCGACGCCTCATAAAAAACAAGAGTCACGCGCGCTTACGCGAGAGTAAAAAAAGCTCATAAATTTGACTGAAATTACAAGATCAAAGCCGACGGATTACTAACCCATTGCTAAATTATTGGTTAAATTTCGAAGAGCTTAGTCACACAGAGTTACATCAAGTGGTTGATAAAATGCTCACTTGAAAATGGGTAATGAGTATATAGCTTTATAAAAATTAGTGAACTTACATAAGCACCAAAATTTGAAGGTTTAGGGATAAAAAATTGAGAGTCTGACATTTTTGTGGCGCTTTTTGATCAATCTTGAATGAAAAATTTTCCACCGAGAGAATATGTTTAATGAACACTAATAAAAATATTTGTGTTCTTGTGTTTCTTTTGGTTCTTATTGGAAGTGAAACACAAACCAACGCAAATTCTGTGTCGATTCTGGTACAGTTTGCGGTGAATTTAGCCAAGAAAATAACGGAGAGACTGGGGTAAAAGCTTTCCTCTGGCTGAGACGCACAGTGGATTGAGTCAAGAGGAGAGGTCGGACAAAAGTCGGAAACTTTAAAAGCTTACAATTCCGTCTATACACAATTTTGAGGTTCTAAAAGTGGCTCCATTGGTTTCCTCGTGAAATTTTCTTCTAGAAGCACCCCATATAACTTGAAATGTGACGAAATTAACATCAAAATCTGCAACTATAATAAATAATTTCATGTCCAACCTCTCTGATTGACTCGACCCACTGTGCGACTTTGGTATTCACCCTTTCGTCTTTTATTACATTTCTTCAAGATAACTAGCCGGCATTTTCTCTTGAAATCGTCAACCGAATGAGGCTGGAGTTATTTTGTGTTTTGCTTCCGGTATAACCAAACTATTGTGTTGACATTTCTCTCTGTGTATAGGATGAAAAATTAATGAAATGATAAAATTACAAAATATAACGAGTAGAATAAAAAATTAACGATATAATAAAAGACCTTTAAAATTGTCAGAGTTAGATTACCAACGCAATAATAATTACGCGGGTAGCTTCATTATATTCAGAAGAGTCAACAACCTCACCTTGAGAAAGATTATAAAAATATAAGAAAAAAAAATTAAAAAAGCAATTGAAAACCATTGCTTGCGTGGAGCTGTCTGTTTTGAGTTACTTTGCGAATCATCCAATCAAATAAAAAGCATGAGTTACGAGTGTGAAAGTGCAAATCCTAAAATAAACAATCGATAACGTGATCTTGTAAAACCGATTTTAAAGCCGCTCTTCATCTTCGCTACTATCTTCGTCACAGTGTTTTTGTCGGTCAAATTTTTCTGATGCTACTTATGATATAATGTCATGCTTCCCGTTCAGTTGAATAACCCACAAAAATGTTGCCTCTCAAATCGTGGAGGCCGAAGTTCATGTTGAGTTTGAGAACTGAGCATTTGATACTCACAATCAGCGTGCAGCGGACGACATTTGGACCTTGTTTAGCAGAAAGGAACTAAGCCACATCAGCTATTGCCAAATTTGACGTAGCAATTTAACTTTTTACAAAAGAACGTTTGTGCGCATCCCTTTGAAAATTTTAAGGAATTTGCTTCGCACTATGCAAAAAATTCACTGAAATTTGCACAAAAATCCGCACAACTGTTTCCATGTGAAGAATCAAATTGCCCAATTAAATATGGCAATAGCTGATGTGGCTTGGTTCCTTTCTGCTTAACATGTATATCAGATTGTACCACCCACCGAGAAAAGAATGAGCTTTATTTTCATTGTGCATTCATGTGAGATCTTAACATAGTTCTACAGCTCTCTGGGAAACAATTCGATAGTCGATCGATCAATTGATAATATTTTAACATTTAGGATGTTTTTTTTAAAATATATTTGAACCTTACATCAGAAGAACTCGGCAAAAATGAAAATAAACAGGATTTGACAGAAAAAAACCTCTACATAACGACTCCATGAATCTGTTACTGCGGATCTATTCGTCAGTCTCTTGGAAATTTGTCGTCACTACCGGGATTCGAACCCCGGACCTATTAACCCAGAGCTAAACGCGCTGACCACTGCATGGGCCAGCCTGGCCGGCTAAACTCAAGATTTTCAGGTTTAAATCGACCTTTAAGCAACTTGTCGAAAAACGCCGACGTTTAGTGCAAAATGACTTCACCGAATCTCAATACTTCACTTCCCACAAATCCGCAACACTTCAAACGAGACCGGAAAGGCAATAACCAAAATTTATGGGTGTAATAAATGAACCATTTTCAACCTCATGCCGTTTATTACCTATCTCGCACTTCCTGTGAGGCACGTGTGTCAATTTAGTGTTGAAAGCTCGTCAAAGTTAACAGTAGCACAGTATCTAGTCACAAAAAGTATTGAGGCTGCCCTTTTATAAACTTAGAAACCGCACGTGTGAAAATGCGATGTTTATAGCTTAAATAATAATGGTCTATATAGCAAATAATAATGATAGATTTCATCACATACCAAGGTAATTTTGGCACCAACTAAAAAATTATGGTCAAAGGCACTATGCGCATGTTGCAATTAATTAATAAATGTAGCTCTATCAGAAACCTGGTCAAATCAACCATACCTCTTTTTGGCGCCAAAACAGCCCAGAAGATAGTTGAGCCTGCCATTTATTTCTTCTCGTAGCACACTGATGCCAAGTGTACTAAAACTATCCGAAATAGTTACCGCCATAACGAGGGCTGATGATTTAAATGTCTCATCATTCTAAATAATTGCACCACACCAAGAAAAATTAAATTCATCATTATAGAAAAAACATTTCCCTCGGCAGTTTTAAGTTTCTTTGAAGATAATACTCATTTTGTTCAGACAGCAAATAACAAAGTCGAGAGAATTATTTGCCTTTAAATTTAATGCAACAACGAAAAACTCCTGTTTGTAATGGATTTTTTGTTGGCTGTTAAAACCGAGGGTTTCTCTTCAAATGGAACATGAAAAACCACTGTAAAGTAAATCATTAACGAGTCTTGTAAAAAAATAATCGTCATATTCAGAAGCAAGGTTTGAGATGCTGTTCCTTTAAACCATTTGCTCTAATGTTGCTGTTCCCTCTCAAAAATATGCATACATTTAAGTCGCTTTCTCAGCGCGCCAGGACGCTCTGCGACACCTAATCGTCACTCTTGTCTGTCGACCCTGAGGTCATCTCGTAAATGAAAGCTCGTCATTTCATCATGAATGCCACCTATCCACGATTTTGCTGGACGTCCCCTACGTCTTCTCCTAGCGGGTTGAACTTAGAACTTGGCTGTAACTTTCAAAGCGAGAAAAATTAACCATTTTTTATTATCAAAAAATTTCTTTCATGACAACATTTTCCTCACTTTGAAAGGTACAGCCAAGTACTAAGTTTTTAGATTTTTAAAATTATTTACTGTTTTTATCCAACTGAGGAAGGCTGAGTTTTCCGCCTAATCGTTTTGGTGGTATTTATGTAAAAATTAGCCTTGTTACCCCGTTGTTTAAATTGTCATTATTGTATATCTTGTCACGGCCTGCGGAGCATCAAACATATTTAACCGCAAACTTCGCCGAAATCAACAAAAAATTTGGGTTGGTTTGTGTTTCACTTCCTATATTAACCATACGGAACACAAGAACACGACTATTCCTATCATCAGTGCACGTGAATAATCACCAAAGCCAGAACCGAGATTTTAGACACCAACATAATTTATAAAACTCTCCGTTTCCAAAAATATAAACCGTGCTTAAGAAACCACGGAAAGCGTAAAGGTCTTGATACACGATCAAATTCCGAACCAATTCTGATCAATGTAGACCAGTTGATGACCGATAGGCACCATGCAATAGTCTTCTTTGATCAAAATTGAACAGGCCATCAAATTTTGATCAGAATTGAGTGCCACCACTCATTATTTCCTGCCGCACGAAACGTTCCTGCCAGGTTTTCATTTAAAAACTAGGCGAAGCAACAATTTTACAACTGATGACTCCCGACACTTTGATGGTAATGGAGAATTCGCACGCACAAATTTGATTGCTTCATCTGAGAGTGTCTAATGAGCAGAGTTCGCAGTATTTTTCATAATTTTTTTCCGATGTGGGAAATAGTAAAAAATCGATTTAAAAGTGAGAAAAGTATCGCCCAGTGACGTCATCTGGCATTTCCCATTTAAACACGTGTATTATAGCAGATTAGATCATATGGTTATATCTTCTCCAATAATGGAGAATTCGCACGCAAATTTTTAATGCTTCATCTGAAAGTGCCTGAAGAGCTGATTTTGCAGTATTTTACATTCTCATTTTTCGATAAGGGAAATAGTATAAAAATATATTTATAAGAGAGAAAGTGCACCGTCTAATGACGTCATCTAGCGGCATTTCCCATTTAAACACATGTATTTTACCATAATTATGCCGTATCTCCTACAATAATTGTTCAATCTATGAACCAAGGGTATCCTCGAGTTCAAATCACTTTGGTAGCATCCACTTAAACACGAAATCCATCAAATTTCAGACACCTGCAAATTCTCAATTGTTCAATTCATGAACCAAGAGTATCCTCGTGCTCAGTTCACTCAGTAGTTTACACTCAAACACAAAATCCATCAAATAATTTCAGACACTTGTAAATTCTCCATTGTTCAATTCATGAACCAACAGTATCCTCGTGCTCAGTTCACTCAGTAGTTTCCACTTTAAACACAAAAATTCATCAAATTTCAGACAACTGCAAATTATACATCGGTTCAGGAGTTTGATCGTGTATCGAAGCCTAAACCGGGGTGGCATGAAACGTAAGAAAGAAACGAAAGATTGGAAATTTCAGTGAAATATTTCATGAACTTTCACGAGGTTGTGTAATATTTCATATTTTTCAGGGGCCAGAGTATTCAACCCGCACTCAAACACCCAAAAACAGAAGAAAATCACGATTTCAGTGAAATATTTCACAAAATTTCACGAGGCTGTGAAATATTTCATATTTTTCAGGGGCCAGAGTATGCAACCCGCACTCAAACACCCAAACACAGAGGAAAATCACGATTTTTAAAACCTTCGAAACATAAAAAGGAACTCGTATTTTTCAAAATCTTCCATAAATTTCTGAAATTTCATGAAATACTTCACGCGAGATTTCAAGATTTTATTTTTCATGAAATTTTGCCACCCTGGCCTTAACGTGACCGTCGTAAGTTACGTCTTAAGTTATCACGTAAGGAGTCACGTAACGTTTTAAGTTATAGAACTAACCAGAGGCGGCAAGTTGTGTGAGGCCGGCGAGGCAGGCGAGGAGGAGAGCGGGCGCGGCTCGCATGGTTGGTCGTGTGTCGCGCGGGCGGTATCACTGGGAGTTGGAAGGCGTTCTGGGGGCTCGCGCGCCCCTCGGGTTGCGCGGCTGCGGCTCGGGACCGGGACGGTGGGGACGCGGTTGGATCGGCCCCTCGAAAACGACTGAGGCGGCTGCTCGCGCGAGCCGGGACGGGGGATACGCGCAACAGCTGATAACGATTGGGGCTTTGTGCGCTGAGCTCTTGCTCGCGATCGAGCGCTCGGGATGCACTTGGCCCTGTTGCCCTGCCTCGCCGACTCGCGCGTACCGCACGGCCCGCGCCGAGTTGACCTTGAGAACGAATAGAGTAAATCCAGTCCGTTATTTCGAAAATATTTCTCTAGCCCCCCCCCCCTCCCCGGTAGCTCCCCTATCTAAGGGTACAAAACTTTTTTCGAACGGTACATGTCGGTACGAAACTAGTACAAAACTTTGGCGATAAAAAAGGGTAGGATTTTAGAAGTGCACTGAAAAAAAAATATCGGTGTATATACTAAGAAAATGGTAAAATGATCAAGGATTCAGGGTTCTATTTGATCCCAGTTTTTTCTTGGTAAAATTACCATTTATGGAATTGGTAATTTTACCGAGAAATCTCGGTAAAATTATTGAACTTTCTCGGTAATTTTACTGGACCTTGGTAAAAATGCCAATATTTTTTATCGACTGCGGTAGAATTACCGAGATAAAATGGCAAAGTTACAGGGAATTGATTACCAATAAAAGTGGTATTCTTACCTGAAAAAAACAGTAAAAATACCGGTTTTTAGGTAAGCTTACCAGCCTGTCTTGGTAAAATTACCAAGAATTGGTAAACAGAGTGAGATGGTAAGTGTACCAACGGACCTTGGTAAAAACGCCAAGAATTTTTTTCAGTGCAGTTTCTCCCACTCCATTACCGTCAAAACTTCCGGGATTTTTTTCAGGTATTTTCAAAAGTTCTGAGAAAGTTGAGCATTTCAGGAATCTCAAAGGTTCCGGAGAAAATTCAGGAAAATCTCAAAAATTTCCGAAATTTGGTACTGGTTCCGGGAATTTGGAGCACTGTTTAGTAGGCCATGGAGCCTTTAGGACCCAAATTAATTTATTTCGAAAAGTGTCGTAAAAGAGTGTAGAGATTCGGCTCCGTGCAGACTTTTAAATGCATCCACGTGTTAACCAGGCAAATCTTATCAAATGTGGAGTGAGGGGATGAAAATTGCTCGAAGGAGTTAAGCATTTAATAGAGATGGGGATGAAACTATAAAAATGTAGAAAACCGTGCTAATAAGTTCTTCAAAAGTGAACTTTAAACTCCTTCAAGAAGGTCAAATCTAACGAGCAGGAGTATAAAACTAATTACGATCAGGGTGTAAGAGAGGGAAGGGGGGGGGCTGGAATTCCAAAAAATCTTAAAAAGTGTCCCAAGTTGATCTAAGTTAATCTACTCGCCAAACAACGTCAGCTCTAAAACGGAAGAGAGCGGAGCGGGATATATGTATGTATGTATTTTTATAAAAAAAAATACATGCACATGCATATCCAACACAGTGTCAACTCAAAATTGTGTTGATCCGTCGCAGTTGAGTTGATTCTTTGTTGTGGGACACCTAATGCATATATAATAGGCGAATACTAGTCCCAAAGATTTTGAACGGATTCGCCGTAAGTCGTATAAGAGGAAAATATTAATCCTTTTCTGTAGGTCCACTAGGACTTTAAAATCATATTATGTAAACCTTAACGAGTGGTGAACGGACAACATTGCACCGCCGGCATTGCGGAGACACTTTAACTGTCAAAGCTGCGATAGTTTCGGCGCTGGCAGTTTCGAACGTTCTTGATCTTGGCAAGAGCACTGACACTTCTCGGTCGCCAATCTTAGAGTGAGTAGTACTTGCAGTGGCATGGCGTAAATGATCGACTATCGACACTGTCCCATTTAAATCCATGTAGAAGAATCGATTATTGAGATGTTCGTTGCAAACACCCTGTCTATCGATTATTTTCCATAAGTTTAAATGGCAGATCAATCGATAAATTGCAAAGCACGCCACGCCACTGAGTATTTGTTACTACTCACAATGCAAACATTCTATCAATGAATGTAAAAATATTACATTCGAGCCATGAATGACATTTTTTAGATCTTTTTTCCTTTGTTTAAGTTTATTCTTAGACAATGTTGTGTATTCTTTAAAAATATATAACTCCCTCGCGTTAATTGTTTCCCCACCTACGAAGCGTTCTGATTATTATTTTTTTTTTCTCGTTAGTATAAAATCACCATATATCATGCCGCCACAATTTTGCTGAGTCGTACGTATTTTAATGAATGATTACTTATCCTGGTTACTAAGAAACGGCGGTACCAAAGTATAACCGTCAAAAATTTCGATCGTTTGCTTACAGGTTTTTTTAAGGTTATGTAGTTGTGTACTGTGAAATACTAAGAAAAAAAACAACATATGAAGACGAGATAAGAATTTCTCATCATTTGAACTTTGTGATTTATTGCATTTTAACTAATTTTTTGCCAGATAACGTGTGAATTGTTTATTAAACGCCCTCAATTTTGAGCCTCAAAGGTAAATACATCATGTATCTTGTCGATGTCGATGAGAAAATTACATAAATGCGTGTCTCGGTTTGTGGCATGCAAATTGTATGTCTTATTTTATTTTCTACATCGAGAACTTGTTACTCAACTTCATTTATTGAAAACCCTAGAGATTTTTCTTCTCTATGTGAAGAATATTCTGTGAAAATTTCTTGACATAATTTATATTCGATCTCCTTTTAAAAAATAAAATAGGAGTGGAGATTTTAAGACACTGCAACCAAGATACGCATTTTTGCAGTTACACACTTTATGTTTGATAATGTTCTCCAAAAGCGCATGTGTAGAAAAATGCAAACCATATAAGCGCAAATGGTTATTTGAGCTTTTTAAGGTGAACAAAATGAAGCGATGAAAGCCTGGCGTTGCTTGTGTCGATGAATGTCCTTAAAATTGGAGGAATAGACACACACAAAAAAAAAACTTTATCTACGATGGGAATGCGGTTGCAATTTAACACTATTTTTAATCACGAGATACCCAGAAAATTGATAATCCCATATTACAAATTAGTATTAGTTTACTTCATTAGTACAACAGGCAACACTGGATTTAAGTTAAGGTCGAGGGGAAACGAGCTAAGCGCCCTAGTGGGGCATGCGACGAACAAGAAGCATGTTTCATTTAGGCGCGTGGATGCATCTATTCGGGCTCCAAGGATGTCCTCGTTGCATACGCACGCAAGTGAAGGCGTTTTGATTCTTCAGACACTCGCCGCCTCACCCGCGGTAGCGTGGGCTGTAAAGCGAGAATCCAAAATGACAGAGCACCTTCAATTCTTCGTTCACTCTCAAAATACATCTCTTTGGCATGAATAGTACCACACGAACGTAGGGTGTAAGTATCTCTTGTGCGTCGGTTTTTGTATCGGGATTGTAGAGCAACTATTCTTACTTTGGAGGTGTCTATGTGGTATAAACGAACAATTTAAGGCGTTCTGTCACTCTGGATCTTCTCAGGACTACCAACCAGCGCTACCATGCTTTGAGTGAAGCGGTGAGTGCCTCAAAAATCAAAACGCCTTCAAACCCGTGCGTATGCAAAACGGACATCCATAGAGCCCGAATAGTTGTATTCAGGCGTCATGATGAAATTCGTTCACTGTTCGTTGCGTGCGCCTTTAACGCTTTGCTTGTTTTTCCTACACTTAAACTTAATTCTAGCTTTGCTTATTTTACCGAAAGTACTCATTTTTATAGCAACATAGTCGATTTTCCAAGATATTAATTGATTCTTTAATTGTTGAACAACGTTGTCAGTTCTCAAAATTGCCAAAAATTAGGTGTCTGAGCTTCTAAAACCTCCTTTAACATGTCGTTATTTTGTGAATGTTCTTTTTTTTATTCCTCCAAGAAAATTCTTTACAACATTTAAGTGCACAATTTTCAAAGATCGATCCTGATAAGTCACACGGAATTTAAAAAATTAAGTTTAAAAGCTTTCTTTTGAGCTTAGGGGTTAGTTTTTGAGATAAGTGGTGGCATTATCGTGTTTCTCACAAAATGTTACACAAGTGGAATCATTTTAATCGCAAATCCCCGACACATTCAAGAACTGTGAATACTTTGCAACGTTGAATTCGTCGTCTCCCGGATGAAGGAACGTAACTCCATTCCAAGGTTGTCAAATTAACTCGAGCAATTGATTAATTTTATAAGAATGTATACTTGTCCAATGTTTCCCCAAATTTTTCTGATTTTTGCATGAAAAAGCGATGAAATTTTCAGTCAAAAATACCTAAGATTCTCCTGGTTAACAGGTACATTTTGAGGACAAAGTTGGCAACATTGAAATGGAATTACATTCTTTCGTGAGGAAAATGACCAATTATAGTCACTTCTTGTGTCTATACTAAACAAAAACATTTAATTTAGAATGTACCTATTCAATGTTTTCCCAAATTTTTCTGATTTTTGCATGAAATCCGAGGAAAAAGCAATGAAAATTTCAGTCAGAAATACCCAAGACTCTCCTGGTTAACAAGTAAATTTTGAGGACAAATTTGGCAACATTTAAATGGAATTACGTTCTTTCGTGAGGGAAATGACAAATTATAGTCACTTCTTGTGTCTAGTCAACGAAAACATGCGCAAATAGCCCAGAAATCGGAATGAAAGATAAAATTCAAATTAATTTTACTCTGCGATGTCCTCTCATTGAAGGATGAGGTTGAGGAAATCGAGACAGCGAATCAAGAGCCCCTTCACGGATTGAGATGGGCAACTTCTTATACTACTGTTGCTACATATGTCCTCGGTGTGCTACCTGTTGCGGTCTTCCATTGAGGGTTGGTGCGCTTCTTGTTGGCATTTTGACCGTGGTAAGAAACAGAGCATTCTAAAATTTTATCCCCATAATCTTAAAGTTTTCTTTGAAGAAACCCTCTTCTACCACAATTTTTTGACTTATCATCCTCAACCCCCTTTTATTATAATTTTTGGACTTATCATCCTCAACCCTCCCTCCACAGTTACTGGTAGCCTGCAGATTTAAGGTTTTTAACTTAATTTTTCCAGTACTTTGAGTTTTAAAAAGTTTTGACGGGTTATCACACTGAAAAAAAAACACATTGGATCTAGAGTCCAGACCCTTGAAAACATTGACAAGAAAAAGGACTCTTGATTCAATCAGATGTAAGCTTAAATCAAAAGGAAATCCGCTCAGATTAAGAGGCTTGGTTCTTGATTTGAGCTTATATCTGATTGAATCAAGAGTATTTATTCTTGTCGATGTTTTTAAGAGTCTGGACTCTAGATACAATGTGTTTTTTTTTCCAGTGCAGAATAAAATTTGAGGTGAACCGCAACTATTTTTGAAAAGAAAATGACGGTATCCTGTTTTGAACTTTTTGAAAATTCTTTTGAATTGAGATTCTATCAACTCTTTCTCAAATTCCCTTATTATTATTTCACCGTGTTAACCAGTATACTTTATATGACTGTACCATCCTCTTTTACCGGTTTGTAAAAAAAATAAAAAAAAAATAATCACTCCCCCATCAAAAAAATTAAATTTCTAAAAAGTTCGCACCATGGATTATTATAATTCAAAGGCAAATGGACCGCGTTTAACAGAAAGGAACCAAGCGACATTATCTATTGCCAAATTTAAGTGGGCAATTCAATTTTTTACGAGAGAACGTTTCCGCGGATTCCGTTGAAAAGCTTAAGGAATTTGCTTTGCGCTATGGAGAAAATTCACTGAAATTTGCACAATAATCCGCACAACCGTTTTTGTGTAAAAAATGTAATCGCCCAATTAAATTTGGCAATAGCTGATGTCGCTTGGTTCCTTTCTGTTTAACGCGGTCCAAAAAGACGAGATACAGGAGACGTGTCTTCTCCCAAATTCTGATTGATTCCAGTGGCGTGGCGTGAATTGCGATGTATCGATTGTTATGCCGTTTAAACGAATGGTAAAGAATCGATTATGAAGGTGTTCGCTGCGAACACCCTGTTTATCGATTCTTTTCCATAGGTTTAAATGCCATAACATTGATATATCGCAAAACACGCCACGCCACTGATTGATTCCGCGACATTAAGTAGCCAGGAATATGTAATTAAACCAATCCATCTTCATTATTTTTAAGTAGATTCCATTTTTTTCAACTCCTCGTAATTTTTCTTGATTCTAGGTTTTCAAAGTGATGGCAATTGGCGTTGACCTGTGTTTGATTGAGCAGACTCTCATATTACCATTTGACGCGCCGTATCAATCTATAACAGACTATCTTTTGACCGATGGTAAGTTACCCATCTTCATACTCACCTTCATTTCCCTTCAGAGGCTCACCGTAGAGTACTTTCATCGGAAAAATAGCGTATGTTGCAAGCTGATGATTCTGAATGACAGAAAATGATATTTTAGTTTTGTTTCCATCGACGTATAAACTTTACTCGAATAAAATAGTTAAATGTAGTCACCCAGTTTTGAAACTAAAATCACACAATAGTCCGGGCATATTTTTCTGTATGGTCCCTATTTTAGCACACGCTAAAACACTACAGCCTCTATTGGACACATGCTAAAATTTTTACTAGTAACGCCATGAGAGGAAAAAAAATAAATAATAAATTTGTAGCCGAGAGAAAATTGATACTTAAAATGTTTATAACTTATTTTTTCTTTTGTGTTCAACATTGCGTTATGACTTGTTTGAATAGACGGATTTGATAACTTTAAGGTGATGAAGTTCAAATACAAACTTATTATGACTTAATATGCTTGCTCACGTTATGGATGACATAGCAAATGTGGCGCTGATCTTGGAGGTAGTATTTTGGCCTACCTCTATTTTGAAGGCGAAACATTCGCCAGTTCTTTCGAGTCGATTGGCGCATCTATAGCAGATAAAGCATTGCGCCATTGAACGCTTTAAGAAAAGGGTTATTTTATACGTGCTGGGCTTGAAGGAGTATAATAATATCCATCAAATAAACAGGCGTCTTCAAGCACTTTGTGTTGATTCATTTATTTGCTCTTGCTTTTTGTGTATTTTCCATATTATTATGCTACAATACCTGGACGGCATTTGCGATATGAAACTACTCTTCCTGGCTCATTTCAGAAACAACATATGTTCTGTTAATTCTCCTATACAGACAGGTGCTTCTACCAGCGAGCACGGAATTGTAGTTTCTCGTTTCAAATGGAATCCACTCCAAATTTGGAGCTTTACAACTTGACGGTTCCCATTTTTATGTTATGGTTTTTGAAAATAGATCTAAGAACTGAGTTTTAAGACTGAGGCTCAGAGATCTTTAAATGATCGATAAGATGCTTGCAAACCCATTTCATTGTGCATGAGCTTTCACAGTCCCTAAAAATGCTTTCACTCGGTGTAGATTCTTCCAAGTTTTATTTTTCCAAAATATAAATACCTTTCCCTCTTTCCAGTGGAGACACTTTACCTATATGTTGCTCTGGTTTGTGATGGATGGATGCTTATACTCGCCATGGTTCTCGTTTGCGGAGTCGTAACGGTAACATGCTCATAACTACATTCTAGTGGCGATTCTTAATAGTTGGCAACACTGCTTTTCCTCCATTTAAACTCTGTAAAACAATCGATCTAAGTTTGTAATCGATATTTTTAATAGATTTAAATGAAGAAAAATCTGTGTTGCCAACTAGAGAGCATCACCGCTGATTACTAAGTAAGTATGGTTCCTGAGGAAAGAACGTAAATTCATTCCAAGGTTGCAAAGTTGACTGAAACAATGCACTTTTTTACAAGGATATGGAATTATTTTCCAGAAATATACTGATTTATTATTGCGAGTAATCAAGAGAAAAATCTATATAATTTTACAGTAAAAAAACCTAACAGTTTCCTCGTAAAAATACAGTTTGCTATTTGCTCACTATTTTCGAACGTCGAAAATTTCCCCTTTGAAAATAGTATTTTTACTGGAAAATTGTTGGGATCTCAAACCGAAAATTCCGCGGATTCTTATTCCGATTGCTGCAAAATCGGCCAAGTAACAATGGAGGGACTGGGACAATACTTTCCTCCGATTGGGGATTTCGTATTCACTACTCGTTTTTTATTAAATTTCTTCAAGAAAACTAGCTGGCATTTTCTTTTGAAATTGTCAACTGGAGGCTAAGGTTATTTTGTGTTTTACTTCCCGTATTAACCAAACTATTGTGTTGAAACTCTCTGTGTACTTTTCTTTGTGGAAAACAACGAGCTGTAAGTTTCCCTTGGAGCAATAAATACTCGTAAAATTTAAATCAAGCTTGATCCTAAGTAAGTGGGTAAATCCACCCATGAATTCACTCCGTATCCGGCCGTATCGGTTGTTTTGGATTTGCAAGTGCCCTGCGTGATAATGTGCTGCGGGGGAGGAGAGGGGCATCAGTCCCATGGAAAATCCGTTTCTGGCGTGAAACACGCCCACTGGACTGGTTCTGTGTCGGCAGATTTGCGAAACTGAGCATTGCAAGGTCAACAATTTGTGGGAGGTAAAGAGTGATCGCTCAAAAAATTGTATAATTCATAAATGCAGCTACTGGACCATCCTTACGTTGGAATTAGAATAATCACCAGAGTACTATCGTGCTAAGAAAGAATGCCGTATGAGCCTTTAGACGTTGCCAAGTTTACTCCGATAAAAACGGAATTTACTGGGGAAATTGTGAAAATTATTCTCCAAGAATTTTCAGGCAATCTTTTACGCAAATCAGTCTAAAATACCTGAAAATTTCGAGGAAAAATATGTATACATGTTGTCAAAAATAAATGTTCAATCGAGGGAAATTTGGAAATTCTAGAATGTTCATACCGGGTTCTTCCATAGCAAGACAGAGTAGGTGTAAGATTCAGCGGACTGAAATTCCGTTGAATCATAATCCCGTTTTCTGCTGGATAATCTTTTTTTCGGCGGGTTTTCTCTCTCCTTTTTGGGAACCCCAAGGAATTGTTATTTTTTATGATGATACTTCGAATGCAGCATTTTCCTCTTAGAGCAAACGGCCTCTGCATAAGCGGGTAATTTTGTGATTCATCCAATTGCTCCACCGAAAAACTTTTTTGCAAAACCGAGTGATGCCACTGATCACGTCTAAAATCAACACCTAGGGTGATGAAAACCTTTACTACCGTGCCAAGGAAAAACGCCGTATGAGCATCCAAATGTTGCCAAATTTCTTATCAGAAAATATTTATTTTTAAAGAACGTAATGAATATATTTCCCTTAAAATTTTCAGTATTTTTAGGTGGGATTGCAAGCAAAATTATCTGAAAAATTGGAAGAAAAATATTCATCAATTTACTTTGAAATGTGTGTTTTATCGAAGGATATTTGGCAACGCCTGAGGGCTCATACGGCGTTCTTCCTTAGGATGGCAATATAGCTCGATCTAATTGAGCCTTCCTGTAAATATATGGCTAGACCAATCATAACGAAGCTCTGTTTTAATTATCGCAGGCGAACTTAGGCAAGGTGGTGATTTTTAACCTCTTCTTCTTTCTGGACACGCTCCGGCTTATTGGGGTTATAGTGTACGAATACATGTACTTGTCACCGTTGCTTGACTCTCTTCACCCTATGTCTCAAACCATTTGCGGAGACCTCGCCCAGTTTTACACCAGGTTGGGCATAGGTAAGTTTGATATTTTCATCGACTCATTAGTGGACAAACTGACCAAGTGCAAATGCGCACAGGCTGGCCCAAAACTAACGTTAGTAGATTTCGTCATAGGAGCAGGTGAAAGCAAGGTGGAAGAATTCAAGGGTGTCACTACCAGTCCGGTAGTCGAAAAGTTAGGAGGCGACCTAAATGTGGGGGCCCCTCCTGTCATTCGGGGGCCCCTCTAAGAAGGTCCGGGGGCACTCCCCCGAAAAATTTTGAAAATTTCACACTTTTTAAACGCAATTTTAAGCATTATTGGAGTTAAATTCTACAGTTCTTGAACTTCAAAATAACCCATTCTCAGGATTCTTTGGGGGCCCTTCATCACATAGCTCTAGGCTACCTTTCATGTCTCTTAGAGACAAATTTTCAAGGATTTTGGGGCCTTTTAGTGACAGAAAAGGATAGGAAAATTACAACATTACGGGAAAAAAAACGATGACCCGAAAAAAATTCGCCGCGGGGCCCATTCGGGACCTCCGCGGCAAATTGTTAGGAGGCGATCGCCTCCCCGCCCCCATGGTAATAAAATGAACTATGCAAAACGGTAATCCGGGTATCGGAACTTGGCTGGTTTGAAAACGCCTTCAAATGAGGCGTGATACCTCACGCATTCCGGAGAGTTCAAATAGTTGTATCATTGCGCCTTAGAAATGCGACGGGAGATTATAATTGAAATCGCCTTCATACACTCTGGCCTTGTCGATTTGCTTTAACATTTTTGCATTCGTGAATGCATAGCTGAAGTGCGCTCCAGCCAGGAGTGTATTCAGCAAATGGGTAGCTTTCATAGGAGGATTGAAAACAAACAAATGGTAGGAAATAAAACATAATAATAGAAACTTTGTAAAACGAGAATCCGGGTATCGGTACTTCGCTGTTTTGAAAACGCCTTCAAATGCGGCGTGATACCTTACGCATTCCGGAGAGTTCAAATAGTTGTATCATTGCGCCTTAGAAATGCGACGGAAGATTACAATTGAAATAGCCTTCATACACGCTGGTCTTTTCGATTTCCGTTAAAATTATCGCAGTCATGAATGCATGGCTTAAGTGCGCTTCAGCTAGAATTGTCTATAGCAAATTGGTAATTTTTGTAGGAGGATCATATATAAACAAGTGGTTAGAAATGAAAACAACTCACTACCGCGGTGGATGACGTCAAAACCCCACTTTTCAAAGGGCGATATCTCGGTCAATATTGAACCCAGAAAGTTGCTCTAGATCTTATTATTTTTTAGCGGATCGACAAGAATCTAGCATCAAAACACGACGTTGTGCCAAGCGCAACTGGACGTTTTTCTACCAAACAAAACTACGTACGCGTGGTAAAGATGTGCTCGTGGTGAGCTGGATAAGAAATAATGTAAAAGTGTGCGTGATTCCTTTTGGTGAAATGGAAAAGCGAGATTTTAAATTCACCAAACGGAACTTGGTGCTGACTGTAATCGGAGCTCATGAGCCGGGGGCATGTGACAAGAGCGTTGTGGACAGGGCTCATGAGTTAAAGAAGAAGAGGAAGGAACTCGGCAGCGGCTTCGTCACACAGTGGATCGAGTCAATTAGAGAAGTCGGACATGACATTTTTGGCCGAAATGGCAGATTTTGATGTTTATTTCGGCACATTTGAAATTTCAAGGGTTGTTTCTTCAACAAAATTTCACGATGAAACCAATGAAACCAATTTTAGAGCATCAAAATTTTGTCCGACCTCTCCCATTGATTCGATCCACTGTGCGTTGCCGCTGACGTCGTTGGCGCTTTTTATTTCGGACCACTCATTCTTACGGCCCTAAACTTCACTCTTGTCGCCCGAGGACTAACAAACACACCCCATATTTACCACCAGAACAGGAGTTTAGTTCTGTACGGTGGAATGAGTCAGTTGCGCTGGTCAAAGAATCGAGTTTTGATGTTTCATTCTTGTATAACAGCTAAAAATATAGCTTGTATAACAGCAACTTTCTACGTTCACTATCAACCGAGATATCGCCCTTTGAAAAGTCGAGTTTTTGACGTCATCCACCGCGGTAGTGACACCCTTGGTTTCTTCCACCTTGCTTTCATCAGGCGGTGTGACGCGCCATTCGCACTGGTTGTTCAACATAAAACTCGGATGAGAGCAATGCGAGAAGTATTCATGCAGTCTTGTAGGCGCTAATATATGGTTCACGCCGACCACGCTGTTTGGCGCAATGCGTGAAGTCTTCTCACAGTCTTGCAGGCGCTAATATCATTCATCCGAGTTTCACGCCGAGTAACCAGTGCAAAATGTGCGTCACTAATGAAAACAAGGTGGAAGAGACCAAGGGTGTCACTATCGCGGTGGATGACGTCAAAAACCCGACATTTCAAAGGGCGATATCTCGCTTAATTTTAAACGTGGAAAGTTGCTGTTTGGATAGATCTTCTTATCTTTAGCTAATCTACAAGAATCACGCATCAAAACATGACTCTATGATCAGCGCAACTGACCCGTTACGTCCAAGTTACCCATTAGGCGATTCGATGGACGCCATATTTTGTGTCAGAACGGCATACTACATATCGCATCAATTGGTTCCATTTTTTCATCTACTCGTCATTTTTCTCCAATTTTGAGATCGCAATTCTGTTGTCAGGAGACTTAAGCACTCACTTACCAATTTCAACAAAGATATTCAACGTAATAAAGGCGTGGTTTTTTCAGAGAGAAAATATCGCATCCGAGTGCAGTTTCGATATCAGTATCGAATGCGATGTTTTCTCTTTAAAAAAACCACGCCTTCATTACGTTAAATTTCTTGTTAAAATTGGTAAGTGAGTGCTTTAGTCTCCTTACAACAGAATTGCGATCTCAAAATTGGAGAAAAATGACGAGTAGCTGAAAAAATGGAACCAATTGATGCGATATATCGTATGCCGTTCTGACACAAAATATGGCGTCCATCGAATCACCTTAAGGTGATTCGACGATTTGTCGTTTTTAAGACAATAAAAATAATGTAACTCGATTTCAGCGTCGTGAAATTTCCTCCCATACAATTTCGCAATTCTGTTGTCAAGAGACTAAAGCACTCACTTACCAATTTCAACAAAGGAATTCAACGTAATAAAGGCGTGGTTTTTTTAGAGAGAAAACATCGCATTCAATACTGATATCGAAACTGCACTCGAATGCGATATTTTCTCTCTAAAAAAACCACGCCTTTATTACGTTGAATTTCTTTGTTAAAATTGGTAAGGGGATGCTTTAGTCTCCTGACAACAGAATTGCGATCTCAAAATTGGAGAAAAATGACGAGTAGCTGAAAAAATGGAACCAATTGATGCGATATATCGCATGCCGTTCCGACACAAAACATTGCGTCCATCGAATCACCTTAAGAGAAAGTTCATTCTATTGACAAGATTCTACAAGATTCAACTTGTGTTTTTGCCTATGTCACAGCCTTGAACATCATCCTCTTCCTGGTATCCAACAGCTACCATCACAAAATGATGCGGCGCAAGAAGGAGCTAACCGCGAAGGCCGCCGAGAGGGAGGCCGAGGAACTCGCGCGACTCCCCCAGAAACGGGCCCCCTCCCCCTCGGGCCAGTTGGTGGACGAGGTGGGGCACGTGCTCTGCCCCTGCCCGGACGGACGGATGCCCCTCCGGCAGTCGGTGTCGCCGCAGGGTCGATCCGTCAGCCCGCGGACGGTGGGGTCCATTGATCGAAGGGATGGCTCCCGATGTTACGCCCAACAGCAGACGATGTCCGAGGGCCGCACATTGTACTCGGACCAGACGACGAGCCAAAGCGGGACTTTGTCGCCGAGGGGACGGATTGAGGGTAGTCGATCACCCTTTGCAAACGGATCGATACGCAGTAAAAGCCCATCACGGTACGCACAAGGTGGGTAATAAGTTGGACGTATTTCTGCCAAATGCGGAGCTATACTGCCGTGCTAAGGAAGAACGCCGTATGAACATTCGAGAGTTGCCAAAGTTCCCTTGATAAAACATATATTTTTGACATAAGTCATGCATATTTTTCCTTCAAATTTTCAGATATTTTAGATTAAATTGCGTACAAAATTGTCTGAAATTTTTGGAAAATAATATTCGCAATTTTTCCTGTAAATTCGGTTTTTATCGGAGGAAACTTGGCAACGCCTGGTTGCTCATACGGCGTTTTTCCTTAGCACAGCAGTGATAGCAAAGAGAACGGTAAGTGCAAAAATGAAGTTTTGAGAAAACCACGCGGAGCTCCGTCGCTGCTGACGTCACAGGCGATTTAAAATTCCCATTCATTCGTACTGCCTTCGACTAAGAAGCACTCCCCTTCCTTCCGACCTGTCTCTGCAGGTTTCGTTTGGCAGAAATACGTCCAGATTTTAGAAAAATATGCGTGGAGTCAAGTAAAATGGGCATTCAGATGGAAGCTAAAATTCGCTCGTCCCATAATTTTTAATTAACTAGAGAAGCGCATCTCACGTGTTGTTATCAATGAAACGGATATCTAGGTTGAATTTTCGAATAGGCTAATCCGTAAAAAGACATATATCTGTTGGGAAACTAATATTACATACGTTGTTTCTAAACTGAGCCAGAAATTTTAGTTCCGAATTGCAAAATGCAGTCAATTTTCATTTGAAAAAAATTAATCTTATTCCATTGCATATATCTTCAATTTTATTAAGCACAATTAATTTTATCAGCAGGGTCTCGAAGTCATTCTCCGTATGAAAAGAGTATGTCACGAAGTCCTTCTCCTTTCCACGGAGGTGGATCACCCGGTCGTCCAATCATCAAGCAGCCTGTGTCGACGGGATTTACCCATCAACCAATCAGCATGTCTCATCCTCAACCCACGTATGGAATCCCACCTTACTACCCCTCGAATCAGATTCCAGGTGAAGAGATATTTCAAAGCATTACCAGGTAGTTTTCGGGAGAAACAAGACGGATCAGTATGCGTTTTCTGTCTTTGGAGGAAACCTGATCAGCAGGCTGATTATTGAAATTAATAGACAAATAAGACATAGGAAATATGGAGCGATCCTATTGGCAGGAGTGGGAGGGTCCCATAGACTGAAGGAAAAAATAATGGAATAATAACTCTATGGTCTCTCGTGGGTTGCCCTTAGTTTGTCTATTACTTTTATACCTACTTTGTTCATTGCAACCACTCGCTTCTAACGATAGGATCCCTCCATATCCATTTGTCTTCTTTGTCTATAGCTTTGTCTATCAATTTCAACAATCAGCCCACTGGCTATCCTTAGCTGGAACTTTTGCGCCACGGGGAGCTATTCGATGATCGATTGATCAAATGGACGTATTTCTGTCAAACGGAACTACGTGCATTAAGACATGAGCTCCGAGACCCATAAGAATATATGCATAACAGGGCTCACGTCATAATGCACATAGTTCCATTTGACAGAAATACGTCCAAATACACAAAAACGTCGAAAATGGTGATTTTTGGATCTTAGGGGCTGTCCATAAATCACGTAAAGCTCTAGGAGAACTTATGTAGAAAAAAGTAAACCGATAGAAAGAACTTTTATTTTTACTTAGAAAATGCTCCTTGCAGTCTGGCGATTGAACTCAGGGACATCCTATAATGAGCTACAGCTGACAAGTCCCCTTGTATCATTGAAAGAGTGAGAAAATTGAAAGTGCCTTCAATTTTTGAGTATGCAACACGCACATCGGTAGAACACGAATAGTTGCATCAAAGCGCTATAGTCAGCCTAGCCTGGTCTTTGTAAGCGTCAACGCAACGCCTCGAATTTTTGAATATCCAACACGCACATCCAAGATATCTGGATATATAGGAAAAATTTCCATATCCCTTTGTCTTCTTTGTCTATAGCTTTGTCTATCATTTCAATTATAGGCCCGCTTGTTGGATTTGTCATTTGTAAATTGCGGTGTTTGTTTTTTGCAGGTGACTCGCTAGCTTGTCACACGGCCATGCCTTTTGGTCCTGCCGGTAACTATGGTAACCGACAGGTTTACAGCGGTAACCAGCAGGTTTACAGTGGTAACCAGCAGGTTTACAGTGGTAATCATGATAGAGGTGGCTATTCAAGAAGTCCCTCTCCGCATCAAGAGAGGGAAGCTGGGTGTTCACCGCGCCCATCTCCGTTTCGAGGAAATCGGAGAGAGTATTCACGGAGCCAATCACCGTATGAGCGATACCAGAAAAGACACCAAGAGGAGGGTCAAGTAGGAATTAGCACTACGTCCGTTGGGACAGATAGCTCGTCGTCGTTATCGGAATGTTCTTCCACGACATCTTGATGAGGCCGCGAGGGGGTAGAATAAGCTTTAAAGATATTCTGCCGTGCTGGGGAAAAACGCCGTATGAGCCTTCAGGCGATGCCAAATTTCTTCTGGCAAATCACTAATTTTCAGGACAATTTTTTTAATATTTTCCTGCCAATTTTTCAGATAATTTTGTTCGTAATTTGATCTAAAGTTTTTGAAAATTTCAAGGAAAAAGATAAATAATTTTCCTCCAAAATATACATTTTATCCAAGGAAATTTGGCAACTCTCAAATGTTCATGCGGCGTTCTTCCGTAGCACGGCAGTATTGTGTCCTCTATTATTACTCCTGCTTGAAGAGTAAATGTGACATGTCCATATACGAGTACCCGAGCCAGAGTTATGTTTATGTCGCAGGCAGTGGCGTGGCGAGCTTTGCGATAAATCGATTATTATGCCATTTAAACCTATGGCAAAGGATCGATAAACAGGATGTTTGCAGCGAACACCTTAATAATCGATTCTTTACCATAGGTGTATTAAATAGCAGAACGATACATCGCAATTCACGCCACGCCACTGGTCGCTCGCAATGAGTCGAATCAGGCATTTTGTCAAATGCCTAGACAAATAGTCAAACAAATAATCTTCCTCGGATTGAAATTCTGAGTTTTTTATTAGTTTTAGACAAAATAATCATTCTCTCAAGTTGAAAAGGCGTTTCTATAAAAATTGGCATCATACAATTGTAAATAAATTAAATCTATTCCTTAAACGAGCTTCCATCTCAGCATTTTCAGCATGGCACATAATACCGGCTTTTTAAAATTCTGAAGGTTAAAATATATTTGGAGGGCAATATACCAGATAAGTTGGTAGGTTTGATGAATTATTTCTTTCAAAACAATGGAAACTTAATAGTTCCTCGACAAAAACATACAAGTCTTTGTAAACCATCGAAATTGGACTATCTGCCCAGGCATTTGATGAAATGCCTGATTTGATTATTATTTGCCTTCGACACTTGTGTCTCTCCAAAGAGTGATATGTATCTTACTTTCAGGGACTCATCTCCTCAACAGACTCATGCACTTGATGAACTAACCCAGAAAATTAATGTATTCTTTCATCTCACGTTTTCTGAGACCTTTTAGGCCGGGATCTCATCGATGATGGAACTAGAGGAACTCCTTTTCGCTATTCCAAAGGTTGCAAACATTCTAGGAAAGTTTAGATTGTTGCTTCTTCACATGGACGTGCAAACAGCATTATTCTTTGAAATTTGCATACCATTGAAGATTTTGGTAGCACTAAGAAAAATATAGCTTGACAGAATTGTATTCAAAATGACGATGAACAAAAAAGTTGTTCTGATGGTTTAACATACATCAATATAATTATAAAAGCTACAAATAGGTTGAACTCTGTTATTATTTTGTGCATGACATTTAATCAATCAGTCTTGAACAATTGCACAGGCGTCTGATGGCGTGTTTTCCACTTATTTGTAAAATACTCAACTGTAGATAAGAATAATTACTGTTTGATAGTGCCTCAATACATATATTTATATAGTGCCCTATATATTTCAGCGCTCGTGTTTTATTTAAGAATCTGTTTAACTTTACATCTGAGAATTTTAAGTGAAATACATTTTAATATAAATGTCACCAAAACTTATGAATATTTTTTTCGAAATTCCGAAGAATGTCTTTTTTTTAATTTGATGCATGACTTCTAAAAAAAAAGAAGAAAATAGTAGAAACTTCTCTCATGCATTAAATATTTTTTCGGAAAAATATGCCAACCTTATAATTTCAATACGGCCGCGGCGGCGCATTTTTCTTAGACACACCTCTAATAATACATTACTTAAAGCGTCAAAATCAATTGCAGTCTTCACAAGTTATAAAGTTACGCAGCCTCCCCTTCATTTGGATCCATTTGAATCCATTACAAATAATCGATTCTGGGTGAGACAGCCTGCTTCTGAAGGAATCGATTGTTGCACATGCAATCTGAAACCTAATGTTCAGTGGCGAGGCGTGAATGATCGATTATCGATCTTTCCCATTTCGAAGCTGAAGTAAAGAATCGATTATTATCGATGATATCGATTATTTATGGATCCTTTTCTATAGGTTTAAAGGTCAATCGCTATATCGCAAAGCACGCCACGCCACTGCAATGTTGCTATCTAGCAAGTATCGCCACTGCTTGCACTCTGCAGCTGCTACAAGGACAGGAATAGTAAAACGCCTTCAATTCCATCCATAGGCAACACGGACATCCGCAAAGCGCGAATAGTCGCATCCAAGGCTTTAGCATTGTTATCACCTTACGTCCTCTGGCCGGAGCTGAGGTATCTGGCAATCTAAGAGTAATTTCTTGGCTGTTGTGACGTCTGCACAAATCGAAAAATTATTCAACACAAATTATTCCAAAAATACAATCGATTCGAAAACATATCGAAAAACCCTTAAATTTTTAAAGACACCTCTTGAGAAATGGTTAAAATATATATTCAGAATATATGTTACGCATGTCATACCTTTTGGATATTTTCAAAGCAAAATGTACAAGAGACAGGATTGAAGTAAGCTACAGTATCATCAATTCTTAGAAGATCTGTTGTCATTGTTTAAGAATTGACATGTTTGAAAAAACGTGTTAAACAATCTCTTTAAAAAAGTAGTTTTAGAAATATTATTTTACGTTAATTTACTGAGTGCACATTTATTTGAACAACATTCCGAAATTATTTCCTAAAATTTAATTTCTAACAATTGTCCAATAATTGTGTTTAGAAAATTCCTTACATAAAACGGTCGTTGTTATGCTAAGGATACCTCATTTTCATATTCAAGAAACGACTCGGTAATAATGTTCTAAGGAGATTTCTGACGATTCAGAATCACTTAAGATGATGACATTAACGCGCTATATTCTGTGTATGAAAATATTAGGTAGTATATTTTGACAAAAAAAGCATATAATACCTCACGCCAAGTCGATAATACGTGAAAGAAATGAAATATCATACCTCAATATTTGGTAAATTTCCAACAATTTCAATTTTTCTTTTCCGGCATGAATCATTCAATTTTGAACCTTTAACTCCATATCCCAAAATTTAGCACGTGCATGCACTAAAATCGATTTTTATTCAGCGCTTTACCTTCGAAATAAATTCCGTTTTCAGAAGTAAAGATTTGATAATGTTCCCAAATATTTAACGAATCAAATATAATCGGATAGAAAATACCTAATCTGCTTCAGATTACCGCACTTGTGTCAAACACACCCTATCCAGCCATTTTTTGTCTGAATAATGAAAATTACTCCCCTCAAGGTGAAGTCATCACAATTTCACAAACATTCTTCAGTCCATAATAAAATAAAATTTCCAAATTTCCCCGAGTAAGTGTTTTCCCATACCTTGCTCAGCAATGCGCATAAATTCAAACAAAAAACACATGAATCCATTTAAAGCCCTCTCCAAATCTCACCTATTCAGTTTTATTGCTTGAATTGATGCTTGAAGATTATAATCTTTTCGAAAACAATCAACTAACTTGAGAACTTTCGCTCATTGCTTCAAAATGTCTAAAAGTTGGAAACGAGAGGTATAAAACCTGCGGGTCGATTATTGAAATTGATAGACAAAGCTATAGACAAAGAAGACAAAAGGGATTTGGAGGGATCCTATTGGTGGAAGCGGGTGGTTGCAATGGACAAAGGACGTGGGTGATAGACTAACTAACGGCAACCCACGAGGGACCCGATAATTAGTCCATCATTTTCTTCCTTAGTCTATAAGAGCCACCCGTTTCCACCGATAGGATAGCTTTTTACTCTCTATGTCTTCTTTGTCTATCGCTTTGTCTATCAATTTCAATAATCAGTCCGCTGGCTTGAACGTGCTGATCCTCACGTTCATTACTCATGACGCACTTGAATATGAGGCCAATATACCTCCGTGCTATGGCTATGGAAGAACGCCGTATGAACCTTCAGACGTTGCCACATTTCCTTCAATAAAAACCTAATTTGATTGGAAAATTGTGAATTTTTTTTCCTCAGTTTTTTCAGAAAATTTTGCTTGCAATTTTTTCAAAAATGTCTGAAAATTTCAAGGAAGAATACGCATAATCGTTCTCAAAATTACATGTTTTATCCGGGGCAATTTGGAAACTCTCGAATGTTCAAACGGTGTTCTTTCTTAGCGTGGCAGAGTAGTGCTAGTTTCTGTTTGATAACTCATGATGCGAAGTTAAACGCGGTCAAAAAATCAACCCAGCAGGACAAGACATTGACCTATGAACTTATGCTCTGAGTGAACTTACTTTATTGGTATTCAGTATATCCGTATCAACGCTGCGAGATCAACATCAGGATAAAAATGAGTGAGATTTCAATTTCTCACCCAAAATTCATAACAAAAGCTAATTGGAGGAGTTGAGCAGTTATATTGNGGGGGGGGGGGGGGGGTTCAGATCTGCGAAACGAGTGCGTCAAGTACGTCAAGGAAGTGAAAAAAATCCGATTTTTAGTCTTACGTATTTTATGAACGGTCATAATAACGAAAGAAACCGGCAGATAATACGAACATTTTGCAGTGAATTGACAATGCGTTACGCGTACACAAGACGGTCTTGAACTCTAATCAGAATTCGATTTCTCCCGCAAAATCACGAAACCTAACTACACCAAGCAGGTGCCTTTATCGTTTCGCACACCTTCGATTCGCCAATTTTTTACGAGTACGCATAATTCTCGATACTATCAACAAAATACCTAGGTAATTCGGCGCGCAATAACACTTTGAGTCGGGGTACACGACACAACAGGAAAACGTGCGATGTTAAAGTGCTGTAAAAAGAAGCGAAAAATACTTTTAAAAAAAAAAAACGTGAGACACGTAAAGCGCTGCTTTACTGGATCATTACCTGCAATCCTACCCAAGTTCACAACATCCTTAGAGTCACGTTGAGTCTTCTACTGAAAGGTGTCTTTCCTTCAGTGCAATACTGCCGTGCTAAGAAAGAACGCTGTATAAACATTCGAGAGTTGCCAAATTTCCTCTCGGAAAATATTAATTTTTGAAGAAAGTTATCAATATTTTTTCTGGAAATTTTCAGA